AAATTTGGTATGTAAAATGAATAAAAAATGTCAGAGGTAGTAGAAATGCAAAATTAGAATATTTAGAATAAAATAAATGTGTTATATCAATAAATTAGAAGTACAAATTATGTGAAGCGCTATTTTTAGAATCAAAAACTTTGTGAGGATGACTTAACAAATTTTCTTTACAAGGATAAAAACAAAAGTCGCATATTTAATTTTACAAGGACTAAAAGCATATTTAGCTCTTTTTTAAAATCATCCTAATCTGTTTTTAATTTTTATTATATTCAAAAGTGCTAAATATTGGACAACTATGTTATTCTTTTTCCTTTTTTAATATAGATTTAGAGTTTGTTTTTTAGAATTTGAACTCTTAACTTCCAGTTTCTTCTAGTTCCTTCCAGTTCTTTCCAGTTCCTTCCAGTTTTTTCCAATTTCTTACAGTGCTTACAGTTCCCTCCAGTTTCTTCCAACTACTTTTATTTTCTTCAAACTCTTTCTACTTTCCGACAAATCACTCTAAAAACAATATTATTATTATTATTATTATTATTATTATTATTATTATTATTATTATTATTTTATTATTATTATTATTATTATTATTATTATTATTATTATTTATATTATTATTATTACAACTATTATGTTCATAACTATAGTTTATAAATTATTTCATTTTTTTCATCTCACTATTTTTATGATTCACACACATTGTTATTCTTTTCTTCAACTTTTTAATATAAATAATACTATTTTTTATATTAATCTACATGATAAAATAAAAAAACATCAATATTTTAAACTATTTAAAAAAATTATGGATAAAATAGTTACATAGAATATTTTTTAATATAAATATATATAATGTAAACATCAATATGTTAATCTAAAATATAAAAATGGAATGGGGGTAAGGAGTACTATGAAAACCAAGAGAGAACTACATTTTGCAAAAGAAAAAATGAACCAAACAGTGTAAAAAAGAAATTCAAATAACAAATAATATCACCAATAATTAAAATAAAACTAACAAAAAATAATACTTTTGAAAATCAATTTATACAAATAACAAAAAATTATACTGGTACTTTATTACTCATTTTTTTTCTCTTTTTTATTTATTTAAAAAAATAATTTTGTTTTTCATTTTTCTAATTTTTATAAAAAAAATTGAAAGTCAAAGTACTTTAGAAAAAATGACTAAAGTATGAGTAAAACATAAAAAAATATAAAAAAAGGTTCTATGTCCTTTTTCTGGAAGTGGGGTTACAATGAAAATAAATTGTCAATCAATAAAAAAATGGGTTTGATTACATTATGTGATATGTCTGATATTTAAAACAAAATCTTGTAATATATAAATATAATTGTAAATATATTATTTTATGATAAATACTGCATAGCCATAATAAATTTTAAGTACTTAATATTTTGATATATATGCTAGTTTTATATTCTAATTAATTGTTTTTTTCAAAAGTAGTTTTTTTGTATGAAAAATTAAAATGTTTTCTTTTATCTTAAAGGCATTTATTAAGATAACGTGATAACACCAACAACAACAACAACAAAAACAATGATAATAATAATAATAATTTATAACAACAAGAATTAGAATGAGAATAATATAAAATACGCTAAAAAAATTTAAAAGTTTTTTTAAAATTTTTATAATTTTTTCTAGTTTCTCAGATTTTTTTAACTTTTTCCAGTTTCTTCCAGTGTTTTTCAGTTTCTTCCAGTTCTTTCTAGTTTGTTCAAATTTCTTCCAACATTCAACTCTTTTTTTCCATTCATAGAGAACATACTCTATCTTAGTTATTCTAACCTAAAACAACAGGTACACTAAAAAAATGAGTCCTCGTCGAGCTATAACTTGATTTGACCGATCAACTGGTTAAGATAATAATATTTCAATAGAGTAATTATTAGAGTATAAACTACATTTTTTGGATTACAACCACAATATTGGGCTTTTGATTGGGTTGGTTGGTTGACATGACCTCAAATCCTTTTTGACTAAGAAGTTACAAGTTCGAACCTCACTCCCACTCAATTTTTTAAAAATAAGGTTTCACGTACAAAATTCAAAACAGTCACGCTTGCACGTGAGGACATGTTAGAGTATAAAATATCTTTCTTGGGCTAAAAACACAAAATTAAGTTTTTGGTTGGATTATTTCTTTGACAATAATATAGGGATAAGGACAAAAATAGTAGTAAAACATTGACGATATACCAAAATAGGAGTAGAAACATAAAATTTCCAAAATAGGAGTTGGTAACTCATCTTCAATAATCACGAAACTGACCCTCCAACGTTTCAAACGATCAACTGGGGTGCTCTTGGTGCGAAAAATATCAAAAGGACCACATTTCCCATCCTCGTCAAAATAGCCCCTGTGACCTTCTAAGTCCTCATTCCTACGGAGGTTATAGGGTGAGCCTTTAAATGTACTCTCGCATGAGAGATGAGGCCACTAAATTGATTCCCACTGCTTCTTTTACACTACTTAGTTGATCTCACAATTGCTGGAACACATCTACATGGCCATTGACCGTATCCTTTATTTTTCACCGACATCGACACCATCATACTCTGCACAGTCTTCGTTGTAGTAAGGTATAATACCAAACATGGCCACATATATTGTCACATATGGTAATGCATAATGCCACAAATTACCATATAATGTCACATATGGTAGTGCACGATGCCACAGATTACCAAATATAATGTCACTGTTGCTAATTCAAAACGTCAAACAAATGAATTATGTCAAACTCAACCACTGGCCTGCAATAATACAACCGGTGACCATCGTCCATCTCACGGCTATTGTTATGGCAGTCGGATGACCAACCATCAGCAGATTTTTTTCTTATTTAATTACTCCTAGTCTCCTATTTAGAGGAGTTTAAGTTTGAACTCCTATTTTAAGGATATAACATATGTTTTACTTCTTTTTTTGGGGGGGGGGGGGTTCTTAATAATATACTGAGTAACGAAATATAATGTAATCAAACTCATGTTATAAATTTCAAGTGTATAAAAGTTTCTTTACTTAAAAGATTTTAGTTATGTTTTTTCTTTTTTTGTTGTTCGAAAATATCTCAATTCCATTTAAAATGAGAAATATTGGTTCACGTTAATTTTCTCTTTTCTACATAAATTGTCACCATATTGTTCCAATTTTTTTTTTACTTTTACCCTACAATTTACATTCTGTAAAAATCAACTGATGACATTTCTTTAAATATGAAGGGAGGAATTGATTCCTACAAAAAATTTCTTTTCACATTTGCTTTTGGGTAATCATATTTTTTTCTCAGTTGTCTATCCGGAAAGAATTACGAGGCAGCCATTTTCTTGTTATTTAAAATTAAATCACAATATCACAAAATTTGTTTTTAAATAATCGCACCAAATCAAAATAAGGAAGTTTTAAAATTAAGAAAAAAATGAAACTTAAATTTAGAGAAAATTATCCCAAATGAGACTAAATAGATTTTATTTTTAATTTTTACATAAAAAAGATAATTTAATTTGGTCCTATTGGGGTGCAGCTCATGTTTTCAACTTCATTTTAATTTGTTTGTTCTCATTGATAATCGTTGAATCATTTATTGTTCTTGCGACTAGACATTTACGTTAGTAGTCAATACATATTGCCTTCGGGACTCGGGAGTAATGCCAGCTTTTAGTGCCTTTGCCACGCCATTTGGTAGTAATGCATGTTTTTAGTTCATATTGCCTTCGCGACTAGGTAGTCATGTTGGTTTTCGATAAAAACATTATATATAGTTTTTTTATCAATGTTTTAGTCTAATGCGTTAATTAAATCATATTTACGTAAAACACTATAGTCTGTAATTGTTCTTAAATTTATTCATGTTTTTCACTTTTTCTAACTTTAGCTCTAACATTATGTTTAACTCAAAGAATTTGAAAGAAAAACAAAAGAAAATAGTTTTCCCTCACCAAAATGGGAGGAACTTGGTGTTCACTTCCCTTAGGGTTCGTTTGGTATACAGAATTGATGGAATTGAAATTGAATTGGAATTGAAATTCTATAGGATTCAATTCCATATAATTGAATTCTGTCAATTCTAATTCATTTTTTGCACTTTCAATTCCGAATCCATATAATTTTTGTGCTACCAAACACCAGAATTGAAATTGAAGTCCTCAATTCCAATTCCATAGTTTGAATTCCGTGTACCAAACGGGCTCTTAGTATTATTTGCTTTCTCATTTTATTTTCCTTCTACTTCTCTTTTCTTTTCCTCTTTAAACAAACAAGAAAAATATTTTCCTTCTCATTTTCTTTTTCTTTTCCAAACATAGTGTTCAAGGAATTTGGAAGGAAAAGAAAGGAAAATAGTTTTCCCTCATGTTCCGCACTAAAATGGAAGGAATTTAGTTTTTGTTCCTCTTTGTACATTTTTCCTTCTTATTTTCTTTTCCTCCCACTTTTATTATCTTTTTCTCTGTAACCAAACAAGAAAAATGTTTTCCTTTTCATTCTCTTTTCCTTTCCCAAACATAGTGTTAAAGTCAAGGATATAGAATTCTGTACACCTTATTAAAACCAACAAAATGACTTCAAAAATTAATCCTTCTAGAATAAACCAGCCTAATTAACTTGAGTGATTAGTTTGTATACTTCTCAAACAACAAGAAGAAAACAAATGCAGAATCCTAAAGCAATTAAGATAGTATTTAACTTAAAATCAAAGACAAAGAAAGAAGAATAAAGTACATATATATACCTTCTTAGCTCAACTTCCTTATTAGCTAGCTTGCCTTGACCATGAAGCAATTATGTATCTTTACAGCCCTGCAAATTAAATCCCCTCTTGCTAGAAAGAGCAGCCTTACAAGAAAAGAACCAATTAATTAACAGCCTTGTCGTCATTCTCCCAAAAAACAAAAACCAAAAAAAAAAAAAAATCTCTGGCTACTCATCATAGTATAAAACCCCCCTTCTCCCTTCACAAAGCAATAATAAGTAACACATACCTTTAGAACTACTTCTTGGTTTTCGATCGTATCGAGTTTCATTAAGTTTTTGATTGAGTTAGTTTCCACTAAGAACATATATACAACAATGGCCGAAGGAGGACAGCGTAAACCGGTGGCGGCTTTTCTTTTGGTGCTGAATTTCTGCATGCACGTCGTGCTCTTGGCCATCGGCGGTTGGGCTATGAACAAAGCCATTGATCACGGCTTCATCATTGGTATGTTGCATAATCGTATACTCGCTTCATTTCTGATATATCGAGATACGGATTAATGTAGCCATAAAATATATATGCTTACATTCATTTTTAACTGACCATTATATGATTTTCTTCATAAATATCTTGAGACATAGATTAATGTACACGACATAAAGTATGTCTCATTTGTTTGTTTTTTGAATGTATCAGAAAAATGCATAATGTTCAATTACAAATTAATGAATGATTGGAGTAATTTTACTTCTCACATTGCCAATTTTTTTCTTGTTTTCTTTTTTTACCTAAAAATAGTTTTCTCATTTCTTTTTTCTGTATTCAATTTTAGAAAAGGATGCGTTCCAGAACATTTCTATCTCACCTAAACAAATTCAAACTTTTCGCTTTTCATAATTCGACATATTTTTCTTAATTTCTGAAAAGTTAAAGTGGTGTGCAAATTAAGTTAAAACGAAGAGAGCAATTAATTAATTGTATACTCCCTCCGTCCCTCATAGATCTTCTCAATAGCCCTTTTTCTTTGTCTACAATAGATCTTCTCATTTCATTTTTTAACAATTAAAATACCACAACTACCCCCACTTACTTTATTTATTACACCTCACCCACCTCATTTAATACACTCCACCCATTTTTCATTAAGGGTATTATGATAAACTTTCACCTTTTTTCAACTCTCCTTAAAAACCACCAAAAGTCAAAATGAGAACATCTTAGGGGGACGGAGGAAGTAATAAATATTGTATCAAAGTTAATGGGTGGGATTTGAATTGACCAGATACCGGACTTAAGCTCCCGGCAAACTTCTCTCCGATATTCTTTCCGATGGGGAACGCGGCCACAGGATTCCTGGTCACATTTTCGCTGATCGCCGGAGTTGTTGGAGTGGCATCTGTCATCGCCGGAGCAAACCACATCCGCCGTTGGAACGTTACGAGCATGCCCGCCGCTGTTTCTGCCGCCGCTATTGCCTGGGCTCTCACTGCCCTTGCCATGGGGTAATTATTATTCCCTCCAATAATTATTTTTTCGTTCACTATTTACATGGTCAAATTTTATACATTTTGTTGGTCTATTTTCTTTGCCTATTTGATAAAATAAGTAGTTTGTCCCATCTAATTTTGTAGAACTTTTAATGTAGTTTTTAAATATGAAATTTTTATTTTTAAATTTCTCACCATTTTTCATATAAAATTATTTAAAAATAATTTTAGTCAAACATCGTAACGCGTAAATGAAAAGATAATTGTTGGACGGAGAGAATAATAACTAGGCTTAATAATTATTACTCCCTCCCCTGCAGTCCATAATAATATTATTATTTTTTTTCATTTTATCTTTCGTGGTCAATCATTTTAAACTTTTACTAGAATTATATTCCCTCCCTCCATCCATTTTGTATAATGAAATCCAATAAAAAAAATTTAGAGAATATTTTTCACACTACTGACGGAGAGTACATATATAAATATTGCAGGTTCGCTTGGAAAGAGATTGAGCTAGGCTTTAGGAATGCCAAGCTGGTGAGTATTATTACTCCTTCTCTCCCAGAATTATTGTTTTATTTTGATTCTTAATTTGTTATTTATTTAACTATAAATTAAATACAATTTTAAATAAATAAAAATACGTATAATATAAATTGAATCCAATTATATTATATTTATACTGCCACTAAATATATTTCAAAAAAAAAACATTATAACTAAATATTTCATTTTATATAATGTGTGACGATTAAAGTGACAAATGGAAGACAAAAGTTCAATCATTAACTATTATGAATGGGTATAATACTTATCTTATAGTCTAAAAAATTACTTTATGGTCCGTTTGATACAGGGAATTAGTAGAATTGAAATTGAAATTTCACAGACTTGAATTAGATGAAATTTGAACTTTTTCAATTCATGTTATGCACTATTAATTCTAAATCTACAAATTTTTGTATTACCAGCAAACGACAAAATTGATAATAAAATCTTCAATTCCAATTTCATGACATGAATTTTGTGTACTAAACGGAACCTTAATTCTTTTGGCATTTATTATTAATGTCTTAAATCTTAATATGACATAGAGCGTAAAATTTATAATTCTAACCTTTATGTTCCTCCCCACCATAGGCCATTGATCGCCGATTTACCAATGACAAATATATAAACTTGTGAATTACTCCCTCTGTCCACCATAGATCTTCCCAGACACTATTCACATGGTCAAACTTAATTCACTTTGTTTATTTATTTTTACTACTCATTTCATAAAATAATATAGTGTTATCACCTCTAGTTTTTTAGAACTTTTCATGTAATTTATTACTACATAAATTTTATATTAAAATTTTACCCCCTATATTCAAATAAATTGAATTGAAAATAAAGTCGGTCAAGCCTCGTAACGCGCAATGGGAAGATCTTAGGTGGACGGATGGAGTATTAATTGGCATTTTTTCTTTTGAACTTGGGAAAATGCAGAGAACAATGGAAGCATTCACAATTATCCTCACTGTTACCCAGTTGCTGTACATAGCAGCCATCCATGGCCCTGCAAGGGCGCAATAATATAACATAGAGCAACCATATATTATACAATCTCCCCACATATATTGCATGTTCAAATGAATTGTCATCATCATCATCATTATTTTTTTAAATTTGGTTTGGTAATAATTAAATTGAGTGCAGTGTGATTGATGATGTACTAAGCTTTTTTTCATCTGGTTGTACCTTATATATCTTATTTTTCGATTATTATTAATTTTTCTATTTGATTCTTCATCGTTTAGTTCAATGAAAATATATATGTACTCCCACGAAATATTATTTAATTTGTAGATTGTATGTGATATATATATATATATATATATATATATATATATATGTATGTATGTATGTATGTATGTATGTATGTATGCATGCATGTATGTATGTATGTATTATTCACATGCATATATATCATGTCTTAATATCTATATAATTTGAGAAACGGATTTCTTAATTGAGCAAATGTTATGTTCACAAATAGAATGTTCACAAACTTACCATTTATGATTTAAATTAATTATTTTGAAATTATTTTAGGTAGTGTTTGGCAACTAGTATTTCATTTCAATTCATGCATTTCAATTCTAAAATTTGAAATCTTGAATTTCAAATGGCAAAGGGAGGTGCATGGATTTCAAATTAAGCTTTGTTATGAATGAGAAGAATTTGAATCAAATCCAAATTCAAAAATTTTAAGTTTCCCAAACATAAAATTTGAGCCAAATCCGGATTTGAAATCTAAATCCATGTTTGCAAACATACTATTAGACTATTTAAATTTTTTATTGAAGTTCACAAATAGTAAATTTGTGAACAACTAGTATATGTATAAATTAAAATAACTAAGTGTGATCCTAGAACATAACTATTTACCATGCCCATTTAGCTATTAATCATTTACATATTAACCAATGTTTTGAAAATTGGATCTGACATCGAACCAGAGAAGCAACTGAGTCAAGAATTAATTATTTGAAAAGGAATGTTTGAGGAGGGTAGTAAGGATATACTAGTGGGCAATATGGACTAGGCAAAGGATAAGCTTGAGGCCACAACCAACATATGGACCCATGGAATAAGAGGGATGATATGGTGAGGTTGCAGGGTCTATGGGTAGAGGAGGTGTGAATGTTGGATACGAACAAGGGTATGGAACCTTGGGTTGAGGGAAGCTTGAGAAGCTTTAATTTAGAAATAGTCAGGTGGATCACTAACTGACCACTCAAACTTTTGTATAGTGGGATCAAGGGAGAGGCCTTGAGCATAAACTTCATTTGCAAAACGAAGATCACCAATCAAGAGCTTACGATAGTAATCTTTCATGGTTGCACCAACCTACAATAAGAGAAGAACAAGAATACAAGGAAAAAAATGCAAACAAAAATAAAAGAAAAAATGGCCTAGTCTCCACTAATAACTTTCAATCAATGTTAGCTAACACAAAGCACTCAAGACCGTTGCAATCTCCGACAACGACACTAGTTTTGACACAAAGATTTTTCAATACGTCGTTTGATATTGAAAAACTCTCGATCAAAAAGTGAAGAAAATGAAAGTGAGATGGAACAAGATGCGGTAAAAGTAATGAGTGAGTAAAGTGGTATAGTACGGATGTCGTATCCACGGGGACAACGTGATTGGTAAGGAATCGAGTGCAAGGTGCAACTAAACACTAAAATCAAGTTGTATATTGTGACTCAAGGTATAAAGGAATAGAGAAGATGAATGAAATGCAAGTGAATGAACTAATCTAATGCAACAAACAATACTAAAATGAAATGTAAGGAGAAAAAAGAAAGCAAACTTAGGTTATGGATTTCTATGTCAATCATGCTAAATCCAAATGGATAAAGGAACAAGAGAAATGGACTAGAATGCGAGTAAATCACCCCAATTTCACTTCCGTAAAAATCAGGAAAAAATCCCTTTGAGAAGCACCCGCTTTCATGGTCCTCCTCTCAAGAGAACTATAAACACATCAAACAAGCTTCTAAAGTATCCTCCACTTCCATAAGGTTCTAAATCCAATTTCTCGGTGATTTAAAATTCACTCCGAAATATTCGATTGATATCGTGACCAACAATAACATCCATGCATAGATATAGCATGATCCCTACAAATCAATATGACTCTCCATTTATCCGCGTTATACTTCTTGTCTATCCCCAACAACCGACATCGTCCAGTTGACGTGAAGCTCCCGGTCAGGTCGCCAATGGCTGGGTCGCAAATTGCGTCTCTGCCCATTCCTGCTTCAAATCTGATTTGGGCCTTTTTAACAACCTTTTGTAAACTGCAAATTGACCCCATATTGAAATTTTGCTTGTAATTCAAGCCCTCTCCCATCCAATTCGACCCTACAATCGATTAAATATTACTCCGTATAAATTAGTCCAAAATCACATATCCAATAAATAATACACAATTAAGTCTCAAATTGTATTAGAATCCAAGTTAATAAGTTTATCAAAAGATAATCAAATATGCACAAATACAGACTTATCAATTATAAAATTTATTAGTGCTGTTTCGTAGAAAAAATATTGTGTCATTTTTACAACTTTTGAATTACTATTTTGGGAAAAAATTGTTCTGAATTATCAAGAAAATCACAAGTTAGGTAGTTCCATTTTAGAAAAAATTAATATAAGCAATAGAAGATTATCAACAAAAATTTCGGAGTGTTGTTCATGAAAAAATTGCAATACAATAAAAAATGTATTTAGTTATAAAAATAAAAAATCCATTTCAGAGAAAAAATTATTGTGTTATTTTCACAATTATTGTAATGTTCTTTTGAAATAAATATTTATATAGAATTATCTAAAAACATTCCCAAGTTTTGTAGTGCCATTTTTTAAGAAATAATAATAATATAGTATCAAAAAACAATTCGAAGTGCCGCTCAATAAAAATAATTGAAACTTACAAAAAATGTAGTGACTTATGAAGTAATTATATTAGCTCTATAGTGTAGAATAATTTATTGCTTAATTATTACCAGATTATCGATTATTGAAAAAAAATTAGTTTCACTCTAAAAAACACTTAAATTTGGTATTATTTATAAAAACTTAAAAAGTACATTTAGAAATTTTAAAAAACGAAAAAAAGAGAATCACCTAAAATAATCCCACCTTTCATTTATTTGTGAAAAACATGCATTTTTAACGGCGACTCAAAACTCGCACAAATGCGGAAAGGTGAGATTATTTCTGGTGACAGTAAAAAGTGAGATTATTTCTGAAAGAGCACGTAAAGGTAAGATTATTTGAAAGAATTTTTCCTATATAATATACAAACATTATATCCATATTTATACATACAATATTACACAAATATTTATCTTTTTGGAAAAATACAATATACTCTGTGATATGAAACAAATTTGTTATAACGTGAAATAAAATATTAGATCCAAATATTTTATATATTTTAATGTTTTATGGTGTAAAATCATGTTATATTTATACAATATGAAATAAAATATCAGTTACGAATATTATACTATCTCCGTCCCAGAATATTTATCCACTTTCATTTTTACACATCATTCAATACACTTTTTTAATACATTTTATCTTGTAATTTGTATATTAAAAAATTATAGAAATTATATATTAATAATCTATATGTTAAGATAAATCAAACAAGATCACACATGACTATATTTAGGTTTACACATTAAGAGAATTTGATGAGTCAAAGTGCTTAGATGAATAGTTCCAAAAGTTAAAACTGGACGAATACTCCGGGACGAATGGAGTATATATTATAAAAAATATGTATATTAAAAGGTTGCAGGCCGGGCCGCTCCATCTGTGGTCTGTTTGGATCACTTTCATATATAGGCAGATATAGGCACGATGTTTTGCCTGAATTATGAAGGCTGGCTAACCCTGATATATGGGCAAAAAATTGACCTCATACCCAACCTAGATTTCGGCCTAGTCCGTGTTTATGCAGATCAACTCAAAACAACTACTCCATCTGCCCCATTTTATACTGTTTGTTTTTGTTTATGTTTTTGACTGAAGTTATTTTTAATTCAATTAACTTGAGAATTGTGGTAAAATTAAAAAATAAGATTTACGTATTTAAAAAGCTACATAAAAAACTCTTTGAAACAAGAGGTAAGATTATGTTTATATAATTTTATCAAATAGTTAGCGAATATATATAAAAAAGTGAATGAAATTTGACCGTGTGAATGGTAAGCAGACATCTTAGTTTGGGATAAAGGGAGTGATGGTTAGTTCCAAGGTGTTGGCTAAGCTTTTGAAAAAATAGATACTCATATCCCCATCTTCTTTGTCAACAATATAATGGAATAATCTTAGGAAAATATTGTCATTTGCCGTAATTGCTACTGCTAGTAACAAGCTAGACTCACTTGTATTCATTGTATAAGTGGGTGCCATCACCAGAGACAACACGGAAACAGTAGTTGGACTTGTCTACGGATGCCTTGAAAGACCAAAAAACATACATAAATTGATACATTTCGAGTGATGCTATTGGCCACATTTGTATCTCCGTCATTGATTCGGGATTGCTTTGAATTAGCCCCCCCTACTACAGGTAATAATTTGTTATTCAAATCCTCCCATGACCCATACAATGGTTAAATTGCATTCGACGTAGGCTCTTTTCCGTTGAACTTATTTTTTCTGATCTGATCTGATTTTTTGTAGTTTTTGATTTGATCTTATTGGATCTGATCTGATTGGATTTGATCTGATCTGGTTTGATTTGATTGAACTGATTGGATCTGATATGATTGAATCTGATCTGATTAATTATAATTTGATTTTAAATTCATATCAATAATTTGATTTGACTTTATAATAACTTTTGAAAATTGTAATGATAATTCATATTATAATATAATCAATATTTTTTATTTTATGATTATTTTTTAATGAAATAAAATTATTTAATTCATATATTAGAAAAATCATTTATATTATAATGTAATAATATTTTTTATTTTATGATTATTTTTTTAAGAAATAAGAATATTGATTTAATATTTTAATAATTAGTTCATATATATATTAGAATAAATATTTAATTCATATATACATTAAAAAGTAATTAAATTTGGATAATCAATATAGAGAAGAGATAGTATTTTTATTAAAATATCTCATCCTTATGAAATATCAATGTTAAGAAAAGGAATAATACATTTTTCTCTATCTTGTATAATAATATATTACTTTCTTAGTTTTCTATTTAACTTGTTTCTAAAGTTTATTCTTTTTCATTTTTAAGAAAAAATTGTGCTTCATATAATTTTATTTTTCTCTACATATATTATAATCACACAACAGTTTTATTTTCTTTCTTCTTATATTTTTAAGAGAAATTAAATTTATTTTTTGAAAGAATCGTATCAAGTGAAACAAGTAAAAAGTATAGAATTTTAGAAGTATGGAGTAATAACGATAATGATAATGATGATGATGATGATGATGATAGTAATTCTTGATTGGATCTGGTCTGATATGATTGGATCTGATTTGATCTTGTCTGATCTGATTAGATCTGATCTGATTTTAATAAGAATAAAAAGAAACAGAAAAAATAAGTTGAACAGAACGAGGCCTTAGCTAACTAACATTCTTTGTATGTTATAGGTATTCGAAATAAGTCATACACATCTTTAACGATGATATACCTCACCTTCTAATCATGATAATCTTTAATTTCTGGGAATATAATTTTAGAATTGAGCTTTCTTTTAATAAGCTTATAATCATTATCTTTGGAGTTGTGTGGTCTACATGCATAATATTGATTTTTAATTTGTATATTTTTTGCATTCATTCTGATGTACATTTTGGACAAGTCTATTGTTCAATGGGCCTAAAGCCCATCGTATCCTCACACAAGTACACCCAATAATCTTTTGACCTTTAGGGATAACCAACCATAAGTGCCATCCACGGGACCAAGTATAGTAAGACCTCGACACCTTGTATTGTGATGTCAACCTCTTCGAAAGGGTGATGAAAGACATGAGTCCTGGGTTGCCATCTCTCGACTAAGGTGGTGATTAGAGCCCAATCCATCTATAACTTATTAGTACCACTTTCGACCCCGAAAAAATCTATACTCTGGCCAAATCTTTGTAACCCATTCACGACGCTTCACCGCCAACCCTTCACGCAAGCTATAGAAAAACTTAACGCATGCACTCCAACGGCACGTCCGCAAATGCCTAATCCTGCCACACCTTATGATCACTTCGATGATCACCGAGTCCTAGAACTAGTACGTTTATAGCTCACAAGTGATCCCGCATGGACGCTCGTTCTTTTCAATTTCATTTTTCTACGCAATTAAATTTTTTAGCTAGTCTAGCTATGTTTTAAGATAAAAAATAAAAAAATAATTCTACAACTAGATCAAATTGGTAAAATATAATAAATGTATAAATGGGTTAGCCTATATCATCGTCTCATATTCATCTCATCAAAATGTCTCTCGCTAGAGTCTTTTTAATTTGCCCCATAAATATTTGTGCGATACAAAAAGTGACGATCAAGGCAAAGGTAAAGTAGTCTAACATATCCGATCCGAAAAAGGTAAAGGTTTAATTCAAAGCATAGTTAGCAGACGATCGAAGCTAAGAATTCAAAGAATATTAAATTAAGGCTCCGTTTGGTACACGAAATTCAAATTATGAAATTGGAATTGAGGGGTTCAATTCTAATTCTGGTGTTTGGTAACACAAAAATTATGTAGATTTGGAATTGATAGTGCAAAAAATGAATTTGAATTGACATAATTTAATTCTATGAAATTAAATTCCATTAAATTTTAATTGTAATTCAATTCCAATTCAATTAATTCTGTATACCAAACCAATCCTAAAGGGATAAGATAAGATTCCCTCGCTAACTTTATCATGAAGCAATGACCTACACTACATTTTTTCTGGTCATACATTTAATTTTTCTTTCCTTGAATACGAAAGAATTAAGTGAAGCAAACACTCTATCTACACTTTTTCCTTTATTAATATATACTCCCTCCTCCCTTAATCCCTTCCATACATACGGTTAAGTTTCTTTTTAAAAATTTAAGGAATAAATATTTTTGTGTTGAACTTATAAAAATATTCTTGATGTGCATATATAGGCAGTAGATATGATGGGATAGATAATACTCCCTCGATCCGTCACGTAAAAATTTTCCGATTTTGACTTTTGGTGATTTCAGGAAGAATTATTTTTGTGTTTGACCTTCCACAAATGCCCTTAGGGTTTTTTTTATAAAAGAGTGATGTTTTGGATTAATGAATAATTAAAAATAATGGGAAGGAGTGATAAAAAACAAGATGAAAGATGAGATGTGACGTGTGCGATGTGAGAAAGTAAGATTAAAGAAGGTAGTTTAGTCCAGTTTAGAGAAATCGAAATGTTTTATAGGACGAGTAAGATTTGAAAGTTAAAATATTTTAGGAAAAATTATCCAAAATAATCCCAACTTTACCCGGTCTTTAAAAAATAATTCCACCTTTCACTGTGATACATAATAATCTCAACTTTACTGAAATTTGCGAGTTTTGGGTCACCGTTAAGTTTCTAACGGAGGGTTAACGGAAATGCCTGTTTTAGACAACAAAATGAAAGTTGGGATTATTTTTTATGAATGTTTGTTTTTTAATTTTTTTTTAAATTTTTATTTAAATTTTTTGAATTAATTTCAACCTCCATTTCTGTTTCTTTTTTAAATATTATTTTTACCTTAGAAAAAATAAAAAAATAGATATAAAAAACAATGAAAATGAGAAAAATAACTAAAACCATACAAAATTAATCAAATAAATAATGTAATCAATAGAAATTAAACAGAAACCAGTAAGAAATAAAATAAATATATATGGAGTGGTGGGTTTTAACATTTTACACACTATACGGAGTCCTAATGTACTACTTATTTTTTAAAAGAACAAGCCGTCTGGTAAAGTTGGAATTATTGTAGATAATTTTTTCTAAAAAGTAAGAAGTGATACGTTAATACTTTGTATAGTGCGTAAAATATTAAAACCCACCCGTATATTTTTATTTTACTTATTACTAATTTCAAGTTAGTTTCTATTGATTACCTTATTTATTTTATTATTTTTATATTCCCTCCGTCCTATTATTAATTTCTCACTTTGACGAAAGCTCATTTTCAAGGGAGAGCAAAATGTGAATTGAGTTTCCATAAATGCTCCTTCCATTACAAACTATAGGGCATGAAATGAATTAACTGGTTAAAGAAGTAAAGATGCAGCAGCACCGACGCCACGCAGCTCTCCGGCATGTCACCCAGATCGGGATTGGCCGGCGGCGAGGCACATGCACCAGCGCACCGCCGAGATGAAACAGATCGGAGAAAGTGGGACCCATCCTTTAGATCGAGGAAGAGAAAGGTTGAATACGAAATGTATTCCCTGTATAAAGAGTGAAAAATCTAGTTTGAAGAAGACAAAGATGTGAATTGAAAGGGCAAAAATGAGTAATTTTTTTATTTGAAGATTCCAATGGAAGCGTCGTCCTCCTCTCCTGCGTAGTCCCTTGAAATTGGATCTCACTTTCAGTAACAATGGAGAAAAAAAGGATTCTCTAAATCTATAAAAAAGAATGGAAGGAAAGAAAAATTAGCAAGAAATCAAGAACGGAAATGGAGAGAGAGAGAGAGAGCGTATGGTTCTAAAGAGGGTGGCGAAATGGGATGTAGATTAGATCTAAGATTCTTGGGGGAATGCAAATGGTTAGAGGAGGTGACATCATCTCTCATAGGATAATAATGAGGGGTGGGGGGTTATTGATTAATTGTGGGCTGGTAGTGGGTGGGGATTGGAGATTTAATCCTAAGGGTATTTGTGTCCTTTGAGAAGAAAAATTTACTTTTTTTTAGAGAGTAAGAAGTTAATTTTAGGACGCCCGAAAAGGAAAGTGAGAAGTTAATTTTAAGACGGAGGGAGTATCATTTTAGTTACATTTCTCATTTTTTCGTTTTTTTATATCTATTATTTTTTAAAACTAAGACTAATCTTTAAAAAAGGAAAAAGAAATGATGATGGAGGTATAAAGTAATTTTAAAAATTTAAATGAAAAAGTAAAAAAATAAAAAAATGAAAATTTATCAAAAATAATCCCAACTTTCATTTTGTTGTCCAAAATAGACATTTCCGTTAACCCTCCGTTAGAAACTTAACGGCAACCCAAAACTCGTAAATTTTAGTAAAGTTTGGATTATTATGCATCACAGTGAAAAATAGGATTATTTTTGAAAGAACGGGTAAAATTGGGATTATTTTGGGTAATTTTTCCAATATTTTATAGGATAGAGGGAGCATATTAATAAGAACAAAAGTAATTTTTTAACAAAAATGAAAAGGAGGGATTGTGGAACACGAAATAAAGAAAGGAGAAAAAATTTGTAGGCCCCGTTTGGTACACAGAATTCAAACTATGAAATTGGAATTGGGGACTTCAATTCCAAATCTCGTGTTTGGTAGCACAAAAATTATGTGGATCTGGAATTGGTAGTGTAAAAAATGAATTGGAATTGGTGAATTCAATTCTATGAAATTGAATTCCATGAAATTTTAATTCCAATTCAATTCTAATTGCATCAATTCCGTGTACCATACGAACCCTTAAAACAAAAGGAATAACGTTGGCCTTACAACCAAGAAAAGAACAATATATACTACGTATAAATATACTCCCCAATTAAGCTAGCTAGCTATGTAATTATACATATATATATTCATCTTCATGATCTTTAAACTTGAAGAATTTCACTCCATATATCTCATAGCTAGGATTGAAGCAATTCCGATAGTAATTAATTAGTTAAGCTATGTAATTAAGTACTTTAGAGGATTAGAAAGGCCAAGGAGATATAAACATCATCAATGGCTTATAATAATAATAATAATGAAGAGAAGCCATCATCAGTTGTTGCGTATTATCTTGTGACTTTGAATTTGTGCATGTCGATTGTGCTCTTGTCCATCGGCGCCTGGGCTATCAATGAAGCCATTGATCACGGCTTCATCATTGGTATGTTTTCTTTTTCTATGCTTAGTATGTACGGAGTACATAATACTTTCCCCGTTCATCTAGACCGTTCCTATTTTGATTAATGAGAGAAAATAAAGAGTCTATATTTATATTTTACAGTTGACTTTCTAATTTTGTCTTTGATGTAATGAGTTGATTATTAGTGATGAAGTATAATGTGATAGATAGAGTAAGAATTAGTATGGTTAAAAGTAGTTTTTTAATGGCAATGAGAAGTGTTTTGAGGAAAGAAATAACTGAAAAAGAAAGCGTTTTCGAGAACGGGGGGAGTATATACGAGGTATTCCTTTTGTCCCTGTTGAATCTTCTCATTTTATTTTTCATGATGTTCAATGTAACAGTTTGACTATGAATATCTTTAATTAAAGATAGAGGCCAATTAGCTCCGGTACCCCCTGTGGTTTGGAAAAAAATTGGCACCAATACCCCCTCTGTTTTCAAAACTTATTTCTAAAGTCCTCGTGGTTTCAAAATGTTGCACCCACACCCCCTTTGATCATTTTCGCATAATTTTTAAACCATAGGGGGCATTCGTGCTCATTTCTTTTTTTCGTTTATTATTCTTCCCCCTTTTTTTAAATATTTTCTATCTCTTTTTCCTTTTCTTAGATTTTTTTAAATATATTTTCAATTTTTTATAATGTTTCAAAAATTTTCAAATTCTGTGTTTGAAATGAAAATAAAAATAAAAAAATTAACATATATTACATCTATCTCAAATTAAACATTTTCACTCTTTGTTACTTAGAATAATTTTTTGGAAAGTTCAAAAAAACAAAGAATTAAAAAAATATGGAAAAACGAAATGAAAAAAATTAAAATACACAAAAAAAGTCTTATACAAAAAAACTGGACACGCCTAAAAAAGTCCATAGAATTAAGATGTCCAAAAAGGATATTCATTTTTATTTTTGTATTAATTTGTTTCTTATTTTATTCCTCATTTTTTTGAAGTTCTTAAAAAAATTACTTTTTTTCAGAAAAAAAATTGTTAATTTGAGAAATAATTTTTTTTAAAAAAACCTTTATTAATAAATGAAACAAAAAAAGAAAAAATGGAAAAAAACAAAAAATATGCGAGAAATAAAAATCAGCACTGATACCCCCTATGGTTTAAAAAATATGCATCAATGCCCCCCCCTTCGCCGGAAAAATGACCGGAAAATGATCAAAGGGGGCACGGGTGCAACATTTTGAAACCACAGAGACTTTAGAAATGAGTTTTGGAAACAGATAGGGTATTTGTGCTTATTTTGCAAACTAGGAGGGGTATCAGTGCTATTTGGCCTAAAGATAGATACAGAGTATATTACTCATTTTGTCCGTAAAAGAACATTTCATTCGACTTTTGACGTTCTCCAAGGCAGCACTTTCAATATTTATATATAGATATACTACCTCCGTCCCAGAGTATTTGTCCAGTTTTGACTTTTTCGGTCAACTGTTTTTCACCTTTGACCTACAATTAAATAAAATATATATTGTATATTAATTAGATAAAATTATTTTAAAAATATTTGATATAATAAATGAAATAAAACTAATTTTGTATCAATATCTAATATCATTTTTATTTAATTTGAGGTCAAAGTTTACGAATTTTGACCAAAAAAAGTCAAAAGTGGACGAATACTTTGGGACGGAGGGAGTACATCATAAAAATACAATATCTCAAAATTATATTTCAAAATCAATTTATTGATATACAATTTATATAAGAATTCAATATATATTTTCCATTATTTGTGGTCAATATTTAAAAAGTTTGACTAAAAAAGTCAAACTGAGAAATATTTTATATACAGAAGGATTATATAAAAATGTAATACTTCCTCCGTCCCAAAAACACTTTTGCCTTGATTTGTTTCTTGTCTCACAAAGTCATTCTCTTTTCTACTTCCTCCGTTCCACAAAATACTTCCGTTTTAATTTTTTGCGCACCCCATAAAATATCACCTAAAATGTCTAAAATATCCCTAAAGGCTAAAACAACTTCTACCCGCAATAAACTACATAGTGGGATATATTTTGGATATTTTAGGTGGGAGTAAAAGCGTTTAATGAGATGCGCAAAAATTTAAGGCGGAAGGGTTTTAAGGAAGGGAGGGAGTATTAAAAACCACTTTTACTCCTACCAATTCTTAACTTACATATCACATCATACTTTTTATGATAATGTAATCATCATATCCTGCTTTTATCCATCATATCAAAAGTATTTTTGGAAATTCAACACAAATATATCTCTCTTAGCTTGATTTTCATAAAAATAAAAATGTAAATATCTTTATGGAATGGAAGAAATATTTTAAAATTAATGTATTGATATTAAATTTGTATCACAATTTAATGTACTTTTTTCTATAATTAATAGTCAAAGTTCAACAAAAAAAGATGTAGGGATTATGTAGTTTTTAATGATAATAAGACGTGGGCGTTGATATAATGCAGCTGAAGGACTAGAACTTCCGGCGCTTTTCTCCCCAATAAGTTTTCCGATGGGGAACGCCGCCACCGGATTCTTCGTCACCCTTTCGATGATCGCCGGAGTAGTGGGAGTGGCCTCCGGCATCACAGAAATAAGCCTAATCCGCCGTGGGAAGAACCCGGAGAGTGCGGCGGCTGCTTCTACTGCTGCTTCTATTGCCTTCACTCTCACCGCCCTTGCCATGGGGTACTACATACATACATACATACATACATACATACATACATACATACATACATACATACATATATATATATATTGTAGAAATATAATTAGAACTAAACTTGAATCGTTTGATTATACATAGATCTGCTATTTATAATAGCTACAAGACTATGACCTAATTACAAGCCCAACAAGAATGAGCCCGTTAACGACAAACCCTACTACATTTCTTAACACTCCCCCTCAAGTTGAGCATGAGATTAAGGAATGCACAACTTGGACAATTAAAACAAAATTAAGACTAGAAAAATTGATAAAGAACTTGAACTTGATCTGCTGTGACAACAACGAACGAAGGTGACCGGCCCTGCAAACGAACAATAAATTTTGATGACGAATGACTCCCACGCGGTGACACGGGGACGACTAACAAGCATCCCAAACTTGGAGGCCGTGTTGCCGAACTGAGGCGCGACTATGCGACCAACCTCACAAACTGATATGTCGAACTGAGACGGGACTATGCGACCAACCTCACAAACAAACATGTCGAACATACAGCTGGTTGCACTTGAACATACGAAATAGCAACCAAAAACAATGTCGCCAAAACGTCATCAAATTTCGATGAACAGTAGAGTGAACATAAAAACCTTCTTCATCGAAGCACGAACAAATCAAACCAATACCAATCTAAAAGAGCCAAACATCAATAATTGAAGTTGCTACTAAAATCCACCAGAAACAGCAAATAGAACCTTTGTGCAACCAATTTGGTTTGCTCCAAACAAGGTGGTACTGTGCGTGATTTGTCTTGGTAGAACTGAAGCAGCAGAAAAAAGAACGGGACTAGTCAGAGAACCAGACGTGTAGCAGCGGTGGATCTGAATCAGTAAGCTGTGGTATAGGACAGACTTGCAGCAGATGAACTTCGCCGGCGATAGATAATTAGGATTTCCGGAAAACAAACACCGGTGCCTTGACGAGCTTGGCAGACAACGACGAAGGCGGACGGCGTGCTGCATTACGAATGGCCTTCTGCGATTGGACGAGATCGGGAGAAGACTTGCGATTTTACGTCAGCAACGTGCAGCACCGCAAGATCTTGGACGGAAAAAAAAAGGACGGGAAAACAAGGTGAAGGGAAACGATGATGATGCCGCCGTCGCCGGACAAACCACCGGCGACGGCGACAGCGGAAGCAACAAAGTAGAGCAAACTAGGGTTTTGGACTTTTAGCTTCCCAGGTTGGCTCCGATACCATGTAGAAAAATTATTAGAACTAAACTTGAATCGTTTGATTATACATAGATCTGCTATTTATAATAGCTACAAGACTATGACCTAGTTAATTACGAGCCCAACAAGAATGAGTCCGTTAACGACAAACCCTACTACATTCCTTAACACACACACACACACACAGAGATATACATATATGTGTGTGTGTGTGTGTGTGTGTGTGTATGTATGTATGTACGTATGTATGTATGTATTTCTCATATCAAAAAAAACAAAACGAATTTCTGTATTTGACTTCAGGACATTTTTTTTAAAAAAAAATTATATATTTTTTAAATAAATATTTGGTCGAACTATAATTAAAAATTCAAAACACTTTGTTTTGCAGGTTTGCATGGAAAGAAATTCAACTAAACGTTAGGAATGCCAAGCTGGTGAGCTGAGAATTTAATTAATTTTGAATTGTTCAGTGATATTCTCTTAGATTCAACTAATATAGGAATCATATACTCCCTTCCCTCTGTCCCTACATAAACTTCCACTTTCCTTTTTTCTTTGTCTTCAAATAAACTTCTATTTTACCTTAAAAAACCCTTTTTTACCCCTTACTTTTTCATACCCTACCTATCACATCATACCTTTTTACTAATAATACATATCAAATCAATGGTATTTTTGTAAAGTCAACACAAAAATATCCCCCCCTTAAATTCGCAAAAAGTCAAAAAGGGAAGTTTATTTAGGGACGGAGGGAGTATAACAAAAGAACTAAAATAGGAGGTGAAAAACTATATTATTTTATCAAATAAGTAAGGAAGGTAATTAAATTTGATTGTATGAATAGTAACTAGAAAGAACGTTTTAGGACGGATCAGAAGAAGCTAAGTATAAGATCTATAATTATAATATTGGCACCATATATATAATACCAAAAAATGATATGGAATATTAATATATAGTGCAATAATTTTATTTTGAAATAAAAATATGTCACTCCTAATTTTAAGTGATTTCTTTGTGATTTAGGGTGTGGTTGGGAACAACCCTATTGATTGAGTTTTCATTTATAAAAAAACAATTAATCCCAAATTTAATTTGTACGTACATGCAGAAAACAATGGAAGCATTCACCATCATCCTTACCGTTACTCAGCTCATATACATAGTGACCCTACAGATATAGTATAGCTCCATCAACATGATCGTAACATAATGATCCATATATATATATATATATATATATATGTATGTATGTATGTATGTATGTATGTATGTATGTATGTATGTATGTATGTATGTATGTATGTATGTATTACATTATTATATGTGAATGTGCGTGAATGGAATGTTTATACATTCTTGCTAAATTAATTACACTTTTTGTTCTATAAAGTGATCGATCATTCTTGACAAAATAATTTGCTAGGCTTGATAAATTTTTACAATGTGTAAATTTATTCTCGTCCAAGTGACCATGAATTACTACCGGAACATCCCATGGAACAAGGGCAAATGTTGTGAAATCACGTACGAATTGAGCAAATGTTGTGAAATCACGTAGCAATTACAACTCGAATATTTGATTGTAGTTGAGCGTTTGGTATAGAAAAATGAAATTGGTCGAAATTAAAATTACGACATTTACACGATTATATATGATTCCTCGCCATCTAGATTCCATTTTGGATTTCAAGCCATCCATAGTATATATGGAGAGAGATATCATAGCCGTTATTAGCCGGACCATTCTTCTATTAGGACATGAATTCTTTTTATATAAGGGCAGCTACAAAACAATGTTCTTTCCTCCCCTTTGCCATACATTGAACAAAATTCACCAATCTGAAAGAACTTGTTAATCCTAGATTTAGTTAATAATCTTCTCCGCCATATGAGTCGAGAAATAAATTGATACTCGGAAATATATCAGTTGTACCAGACTAGAGAGGATCAGTGTTGTTTTGTCCTAGCAGTTGTTAATCATTATAACCACCATTTATAGAATAATCAATACCTGGAGCAGTACCTTCTAATATAAAAAAAACTATCTTGGCCAGGTTTGTATTGCGGGATTGCTTGTTTCCGGCCCCTTTGAGATATTTTACATGAATCCATGAGATATCTTTTTTATTAACAACATTCCATAGAAATCTCATGTGACAGGTTTTATTCCAATGGACTACGACTGCGTTTTTTTCGTCTAGTCTGATCTGATCTAAGTTTTTTGAAAATCCGATCAGATCTAATTTGATCTAATTGTAGTTTTCTCGGATATGAATGAGTAATAAGAATAAGTAGTAAGCTAAAAAAAATATGTTGAATAGACTGCAACCTAAGTTCTACCATCTTATTTCTCTCATTGCCATATCAAACAAGACAAAGTAATGGTAAATCATTCTTTTCGCTTCCGCCCTCTCACTAAACACACCCTTAGTGTTCACGATATCAGTTCCTTCTTAGAGATCTAAGTACAAACTAATCTATCTATATTATTGACATGGAATTAACTATCAGGGCTGGAAGTTTTCCTTGATGTCAAACCTGGTGGGTTATTGAGCTTTTTGGATTTTGGCATTCGAATCTGACTATTTGAGTCATGCATGTTAGTGGAAATCTACATTTAACACCACCTTTGACATATAATTCTCACAAACACATATATAATTCATGCATATATAGTTATTGTATGTGTGTCTTTGAGACACAAAGATGTAGGAGTGCACATTAATCAATCTGGACCAAGATAGACCTGAAACTGGTTGACAATCAATTACTTGATCATGATGCATGTGCCAGAAAATATGGGATGTACCAATATACATGTCGCATTTATTTTAATTTAAATACCTATAAAAGAAATAAAATTATAAATTCGATAAAACCTCAAATATGAAAAAAAAACAAGAAGGAATCTTGGATATTAAAATATGACAACTAAGAAGTGACAATAGAAAAAGTTATTTTGCAAATTCACGTGTGGGAATCAATGTGGGAGAGAAAAGAGTCAATGTGAAGTCATTATTCTCACATATTTCTAGAAGACAAGCCTCCTAAATGTAAGGCCCTAAAAGTTGCTCTAGAAATTTTTTACTTTTAAATACAAATAGTGAATTTATTATCTATAAAAAAAATTTAAAAGTGGGAAAATAGCCTCTCCTCTGAATTACGTCGACGACAAGGAACCGAGGGTATTTATGTACAATTACTTCTTATTTTTAGGAGAAATTATATAGAACACTCCTGAATTTACTCGTTCTTTCAAAAAATAAGTAACAGTAGTACATTAATACTATATATAGTGCGTAAAATGTTAGAACCCTCAACGCCATATATTCTTATTTTATTTCTTACCAGTTTCAGATTAATTTTGTTGATTACCTTATATTTTATTGATTACCTTATTTATTTCATTAATTTTGTATAATCTGAGTTATTTTTCTCATTTTCATTAATTAGTTTATATATATATGTGTGTGTGTGTGTATGTATGTATGTGTGTATATATATATATATATATATATATATATATATTTCTAAAGTAAAACTAATCTTTTAAAAAAGAAAGAAAAATGGATAGATGTAGAAAGTAATTTTTTAAATTTAAATGAAAATTTCAAAAAGAAAAATTAAAAATTCATCAAAAATAATCTCAACTTCAATTTGTTACATAAAAAATGTTATTTCCGTTAACCCGTTGTCAGCAACTTAATGTCAACCCAAAACTCACAAATTTTAGTAGAGTTGAGATTATTATGCATCACAGTAAAATGTGAGATTATTTTTGAAAGACCAGGTAAAGTTGAGATTACTCTGAATAATTTTTCTAATGATAATAATAAATACTCTACAATTGTGGCGTATAGACTGTAAAGCATCTCTGTAATTGTGAATTAGAGAATGAATGGATTAAATATAACTAACGAAGTAACAGTATTAGGGGCTTTTTGGGATATAAATTGCATGGTAGAAGTTTTAAAGCTAAAGGTATATATTTTTTCGATGGAAAATGTGCAAAATATTAAGGGGCATCTAACCCTCTTTCACATTATATACGGAGTAATATAGAAAGATACAATTAGATACTTTAAATTAAATAGATAAGACTAAAATTTTGAAAATAAAGAAATGACTTGTTCTTGAACCTCAATTTTCTCTTATTCAATTTTGATCCGATACGGTCCGAGTTTGGACCGATGCACATTATTACATACTACATTCGTCTCCGAGTATTTGTTCATTTTTTACTTTGTTTGGTTAACCGTTTTCAATATTTGACTTATAATTATATAAAATATAGAGTAAATTCCACAATTGGTCTTTTATAACAGGGGGGTTTTCCTATTTAGTCCTCTATTATCAAATATTACCTCAGTGATCCTTCTTTTATGGGTATCATTTCACAAATAGTCCTTTTTTTATCTCCAATCATGTTGGTGTTAATTTGAAGGCTAAAAGTATAATTTCACAATGATAATACATCTTTTTTGTCATACACAATTTCAAAGGCTGTTCCGTTTGCGTCGTTTGTGAAGTTCAATCGCTTTCTACTACAACCATAGTCTACAAATGTGGTTTTTCGTCAGAATTCTAGCCTACAATCATAGTCATTATTTTCGTGTTATCCGATTAACCAATATCAGATTACGTCACTAGACATAATGTTGATGTCAAATTATACTTTTAGCCTTTAAATTAACACCAAATAAAAAAAAGACTATTTGTGGAAAGACACCCTTAAAAAAAGAACTCTATTATAAAGGATCAATTATGGAATTTACTCTAAAATATAGTACTATGTATTTTACATATTAATTAAATAAAATAATATTTTAAAAATATTTGATATAACAAAATTTAATAAAATTATTTTTGTATTAATATCTAATATCATTTTTATTTAATTTGAGATCAAACTTTTATTAGTTTTGAAAAAAAAGTCAAAAGTAAAAACTTTATTCACTCCCATTCAAGATCGGGGTTATTGAGGCTGTGTTCATCTACAAATCCCTTCGCCCAAAGACACACCCTTCTACAGTCCTATTCTGTTCGACCCAAAACAACATCCAAGAATCATCAGAAACCAGTTCCCAAAATGGTGGAAGAAACGGAGAAATCAACCCAACCGGAGGAACCTGAGAATTCCTCATTATCATCAGCCACGGGACTCAAGGAAGGAGGAGATGCCGCAGACGGGCTGGAGGAAGGTGAGATCGAGGGAGAGTCCAACGAGATGCCCAATCCCGACAAGGGATTGGCGGCAAAGCATCCATTAGAGAACTCTTGGACCTTCTGGTTCGATAACCCCTCCGCTAAGTCCAAACAGGCTGCTTGGGGAAGCAATATGCGCCCCGTCTATACTTTCTCCACTGTTGAAGATTTTTGGAGGTAGCCTTTTAGATTGTATTTCTGTCTGGTTTTCGTTTTGGGGATTTTGCTTGCTCTTAATTATGTATTTCCCAGCAAATTGATTTTTTTAGGGTTTTTTTATATGTAGGCAGTCTACTTGATCAGATCCTTCCCTATCTGTGTTATTATAAAACCAAAGAAGTCTTAGATCTATCGTTTGTTTTCCTTGCTGTGATTTCTAGGGTTAGAATGAGTATATGATCTTTTGGAAACATCCTCTCCAAAAACGTAGGATTTGCGTGTGGGAGTGACTAGTAAGGGTTTGATGTTATTATTATTTTATTGATTATCCATATTGGCATTGAGATTTGTGAGGATTGTGCTTAATTTCTACAATGTTGATGGGTTTTAAATTACCAAGAAGTTAGGGTTTATAACTACAGACTTGCAAATAATAATCCCTGAGCTCGAACCCCTACAATGGAATTTTGAAAGTGGGAGGTATTTTTGAGGAATCTTGTTTCTGTTTGCAATCTCTCAGTTAGAATCACCATGATAGTGAGGTTCTAAATAATTTATTGTATGCCTCTCCTCCATTGACCCCTCCTGTTAGACGTCTAAATACGTTTTTTATTTATAGGGATAGAATCATAGGGCTTTTCTTTATCTGTCTTTGATTTGGTTTCCTTGATATAACTCTGCTTCCAGTGTGTACAACAACATTCACCATCCCAGCAAGTTGGCAAATGGAGCAGATTTCTATTGTTTCAAGCATAAAATTGAACCAAAATGGGAGGATCCAATCTGTGCTAATGGAGGAAAATGGACATTAACGTTTCAGAAGGCAAAATCGGACACTCCCTGGCTGTATACGGTACGTTAGCTTTTCACTCAATAAACGTCTGGAAAAGTTTTCAAGTTTCCTTGTGCTCAATCTTTTTTTACGAATTGGTTTCGACTAGTTATTGGCAATGATTGGAGAACAATTTGACCATGGAGATGAAATTTGTGGAGCTGTTGTCAATGTCCGAGCTAGGCAGGACAAAATATCTCTGTGGACCAAGAATGCTGCTAATGAATCAGCTCAGGTATTTTGCATGCTTGATGGAATTAAGTTTGATTCATTTTAGAAAAGCTTTGTTTAAGAATGTGATTGCAAATAATCATGTTGTTCATATTTCATAATACAAAATCAAGGTGTTGATGGTAATAATGTCTTCACTCTTTGGCCTGGGGGAATGCTTAACCATTTATGTGTAATTCATCCATGCTATTTTACAATTTCTCTGCAATTTTAACATTTTTTATTTTACAACTTGAGAAATGAGAACTGCCAGCTTTTGCAGTTAATTGACTCGAAATTATAACTCGAATCATGAAATTGATATAACCCACCAAGGGGCTGTTCTGTAAAATTTTCGTGTACAAAAGATGTCCCCCATAGCAAAACCTTAAACAAAGTGGCACTGCCCTCAGTATTATTGTTCATTTGTCCTTGTAACATTGCGGATGTTGAAACCTTCACATCTTCCAAAGTTTTGGGTCTGTAAAAATGCTCTCTGTTTGTTAACAGTTATATTCCTATAGCAAGTCACCTTGGGTTTTTTTTTCCAGTGGGGTTGTTAATCTTTTTTCTGTTTTGCAGGTAAGTATTGGGAAACAATGGAAGGAACTTCTGGACTACAAAGAATCATCTGGCTTCATATTCCATGTAAGTCATTTATTGCCAAAGGCTGTGTTTGGGTACATTTTTCTTGAATAAGGTTATAAAGTAATTACTCGTATTTTTAACCATGCAATTCACTACCCCCATTTTTCTTGTGCACAGACATGTGATTTGTCTCATGTCTTTTCATGTCTGCATTCACTACCCATGGGGATGCTAATAGTTTTTTTTCCTTATTATGAAAATCATTTTTTTTGTAGGACGATGCCAAGAAACTTGATAGGGGCGCAAAGAATCGGTACACAGTATGAGTCTGACTTTTGAAATCAAGTGAATGTTGTCTGGGTATTGCCCTGGGAAATGTTCTTCTGAGTATTTATTTACACTGCATCTTATGTTAGTTGTTTAGTAGGATTGCTTGGAGCTCTGTTTTTTTGTTCTTGTTTTGTTTTTGGTTGGTGGAAATTATATATTTACTTTAAAGTGTTGCTTTTTAAGTGTTCCTATTTGGTCCTTTGGAATGAATTGCAATGCTTATTTCTCCTTGTTAATTATTCAAAGGGACATAAAATCGATTGGATAGATTTTTAAGGGACTGGGTTACAAATAATTTGGTAATTTTTGGACGCCCTTCAAAACGCAGAATAGAAGCTGATATATCACTTGTGAAATTAATGTGCGGTTGCAATTCACAAAATCAATTTTAAAAAAATTATGATGAAGATGATGGACTTCTGATCAAAATCAATATTGTCGGAATTAGTTTTTTTTCCCACAACACTAACAAAATCCATCAATTATTTCAAAGTGCGCGGGAATTTGAATTTGAAATTTAAATATGGATTTCATCTAATTCTTCTAATTCAAAATTACTCCGTATTTTGTAAGGCCATGGGGCGTGTCCATTTTTTTTCTTCTTTTCCCCTTCTAACTCAACACAACATCAACTTTTACTTTCCCTTTCCTTTTCCCTTCCATTGAAATGCTTCCTCTTTTCCCCTTTAATTTTAATCTTTTTTTAAATACTTATTATAATTCAAATAAATAAACTAAAAACATTAAAATTATATAACTTTATTGAACATTTTAAAAGAATATAAATTGAACATTTTGTAAAAATATAAAATTTAGAATGGACAGCTGAAGGAAGACACCGGTTGTCAGAATAGATTCATTACACTCAAATATATAAAAATTCTTTAATAAAAATAGCACTATAACTCATACAAATGAATGGAAAATGTGTAAAAAATTCTTTTGACACACACACATATTAATTTAATATCTTGTTTATGTTAATTACTTAAAAACATATTTAAATGCTTATTTATACTATTTATTAAAATTAATTGTTTAAAAACTATTTTCAAATTAACTTATATTATAAATTTAAGTTAATTGTTTAAAAGTAGTTGTGGTAAGTCGGTAAATTGACGTTAATGCATCCCCACTTAAAATAACAAAAATATGAAATTAATACAGTCTAATGTAACTTAAATGTGGAAGAGAGAAGTATAAAAAACTCAGTATAAACAGTATATAGGGAGTATGATATATATGTTATGTACAAATGTCTTTTGATGTTCTTCATGTCATTTGATTATGCCATTAAGTTAGACATTTGCTTTTCCTCTTTGTAAGCCTATATATAGAAGCTCTATATGTTGAAATGTGATATTGTTCTCTTTAGTTTCTCATTGCACTTTGATCTTTCATTTATGTTGTTATCAAGGTATATGTTTATCATTTGTTCATAACAATATTTCTATTATCTTTATTTTTTAACAATATGTACCCTCCGCCCACTCTTTATTCTTTAAATCAAAATTTCTTGGACCAAAATAAAGGGGGGTTTAGTGTGAAAGAGGGCTCATTTTTGGGGAATACAAACACGTATTTTTTCCGCCATATACGCAGTATTTCCAAGTTACCCCAATTTTCCCGCCTGAACTCCCTCCATTTCCCATCCCTTAAATCCCCAAAACCTGAATCGCCAGAAGAGATTAGGGCACCAAGAACTGAAGAACCATTTCAGCTGTAACGCAAGTCCGAGGATTTTGAACCCAGACCCAGTAATCTCCATCGCCGGCGGGTCGAGAAAAATGGGCATTCAGGGACTCCTGCCATTGTTGAAATCGATAATGTTGCCCATTCACATCAAAGACTTGGAGGGCTGCTGCGTTGCGGTGGACACCTATTCTTGGCTCCACAAGGGCGCTGTCTCTTGCAGCAGGGAACTCTGCAAGGGCATTCCCACTTCTAAGTATGTTCGGAGTATCTTTTTTACTTGTTCTTGATTTATCTATACATAAAGGGTACTGCGGAGATCTATTTATGCATACCCTTACAATTAATTGGTAATTGGGTACTCAAATGGCTATATAAAGTTATGGGTTTCTTCTATTATTTTCCCCTTTCTATTTTTTCTCCCACATGTAATTGAAATTTCCGAACCAATGTGAATGCCCATTGCCCATAATGTATACATCTAATCAGGTGACTATGCATAAATGAACGATTTTTATAGTTATTTTTGCTATGTGATGTACAAATTGCCTTTCATTCTTGTGCTGATACCTCTCTTCTTGAATGTAAAAGTGTAAACAGAAATCTGTGTTATTTGTAAACTTGATGGTTGGGTGGGTGTACGATCAGAAAACATAGTTTGTTTTCAATTTTAAGTGTTCAAGAAGTTGAATTGAACATCGATAGTTAGTAGTTCAAGAAAGTTTTTATTTAAAAAACCTGGATTTTTTCATGTGAAGATAATCTAACTGGGACTTAACTAATGTTTGACAGGCATATTAACTATTGCATGCATAGAGTAAACTTGTTGCGGCATTATGGTGTTAAGCCTGTTATGGTGTTTGATGGAGGATTTTTGCCGATGAAGGGCGAGCAAGAGACTAAGCGTGCAAGGTACTTCTCTCAATTTGTGTTGTTCAACTTGTCAAGTTGCCTTCTATTTGGTGCATGAATTTCATTTTTTTTGAAGTTTATGCCAATAAGTTGTGTTCAAAATGTCAAATTGCCCTCAGTTCAGTGCATCCAATTTGATACATTTTAAGTATCTTTTGATTTAGAACATATTGTGTTATCCATTTCTGATCGATGTGACATGCCCTTTTATACATATGGATGCATAAGGATGATAAGTGCCACTTCTTGTCCTCATGAGATCTATTGTATCCATACAAATTAAGTGTGTAGTATTTTTTCTTTCTTGTGGTGTCACATCATTTTTTTGTTGATTGTGTTTTGTTGATCTACTGTAATTTATTAGTTTGTAGGATGCCTAATTCACCTCCTTGCATCCTAGCCTAGTTTTAACCCTTTGAGACTATTGTTTTTTGTGTGATGCCATCATGTCCTAATGTTCTCTGCAATGACCTTATGCTCCCAGATTCCGTAGTTGCAAGGGTATGGAAGTGGAAGATAATCTATTATTATGATTATCATTGATTGTTACCCCAAAAAAATGAAGAGAATTAGGGACTATTAAACAACTTTTGTACTCTTTTAGGTCAAGGAAGGAAAGCCTATCTCGGGCCATTGAGCATGAAGCTAATGGAAATCAGACTGCTGCTTATGAGTGCTACCAAAAGGCCGTTGACATATCACCTTCAGTGGCTTATGACCTGATACAGGTAGTGAATAACATTTTACTTAGTAATGATTTTAATAATCCCATATGTTTTGTGTGGTTGTTGTATGTTATGTGTGGTAAACTACTTATTGTCATCTATTTGTGCATGGAAGGTCTTAAAAAAGGAAAGTGTGCGCTATGTTGTGGCCCCATATGAGGCAGATGCCGAAATGACCTTACTGGCTGTCAGCAAACAGGTTGACGCAGTTATAACAGAGGACTCGGATTTAATCGCCTTTGGTTGTCCTAGAGTAAGCTGTTGGCCTTGTGTTTTAAGGGAGAATAAGACAACTTTTGAGTCTTTACCTACTTTTGTTCTACTATTATGCTTCATAATTGTGCTCTAACAGCTTTGTATATATAGATCATTTACAAAATGGACAAGTATGGGCAAGGAGTTGAATTCCAGTTCTCCATGCTGAGACAGAACAAGGAGTTAAACTTTACTGGTTTCACAAAGCAGATGGTTCTTGAAATGTGCATATTGAGTGGATGTGACTATTTACAGTCTTTGCCTGGGATGGGCTTAAAAAGGGCGCATGCGTTGATCAAGAAGTTCAGAAGTTATGACAAGGTGAGAACGGTTAAAATTCATGTAGAAAAAAAGAAGTTATTGTTAGTAATTACTTTGTCACATTCTACACGTCCTTTCAAAATCTGTTGGATCTCATTTCATATGTAGACTGAATGTTGTTGTTAATTCAGGTTATTAAACACTTGAAATACAATACTGTTGCAGTTCCTCCACTTTATGAGGAATCTTTCAAGAAAGCAATTATGACTTTCCTGCATCAAAGGGTGTATGATCCTGTTTCTGAAGCTCTAGTTCACTTATCTGACATACCTGATGGCACTGATGAAGATCTTGAGTTCCTAGGCCCATATCCTTTCAAAAGCCTGCATATTTCATTCTAAATATATCTGAAAAGCTTATATTTCAATTTCGTTTTGAATCTATTAGACTTGTACCTTAACCCACAATACAGTGCTAACCCCAGAAGTAGCTACGGGTATAGCTAATGGTGAGCTTGATCCTTTAACTAAAATGCCATTTCAGGTATTGATTTGATTCATAGGTGGAGTAGAGACTTACAAAGTGTTTTATGTCATGTCTCTCATTCGCTTATAATTGTCCTTTATTTATTTCTTTTTTGTCAATATTATATTTTAATGTTTTGAATTTTAAATCAACAGAAAGATATCAGTGGCAATGAATTGTACTATGGCCAAACTCATCAACCCAAGAACTTCAAGCTTGAAGGCCGTCAAAGGAAAAAGCTTGATCTGCCTGCAAAAAAGAATCTTCTGACCAACTATTTTTGTATCCTTTTGTTCATACTTGGCTTGCTCTCTCTATTTGTTATTTCTCTTTTATGCTGAAACTATTTTTTGTATTGACTTAGTTGGTTCCCCTTCACTTGAAAGAATTGTAGGCATAACTTTTATTATTTGACATTAATGATTGTAAATTTAATCCTTATGTATTTGCTTTAGTTATGGTAAGTTATGTTTGGGAAGGGTTTGATGTCCTTAGCAATGTAAGGTATCGCTTCCCTTGAAGCTAAGCAAAATTTCAGAGTCCCACGGATCGCCCCTATTGATTCAAATGCAGATGGATCATCTACTGCGTTGCTGGACCGTCAGATGGAAGCTGATTCGAGTGAACTAAGGAGCTCATCAGTTCATCTAGAGGAAAACAATGTGAATATATTGGTATATATGTGTGTGTGTGTGTGTGTGTATGATATAATTTCATCTCAGCTGTTGAATTCTTGTCAAGCATTTGTCTAAGAAATTTTTTTGTTTCTTTAGGTTGATGGTACTACTGCAATAAGGGATTGCCATTTGGAGTCAACTGGTGATGGTGAGTGTGTAAGGAACAAACCAGGTTTATTTACATATACCTCTCCCGGGGGTTAAGTGTAATTTAGCAAATGGACCTTGAGTTTTTGAAATCACAAATGAACCCCTGGCTTAACAAACAACACCACAAGATGAGTGGTAATGATATAAGTAGGTATTCAGCTTTTCTGGTTTAAATGGCTCTCCACTGTTTTAGAGATCCATTTTTTATAATTTTTTCATAGAATGTTTTAGCCTATAAAATACATTGAAAACACAAATTCAGTCTGATTTTTATGGTTTTTGTCAATGCCATTAAATTCTTGGGTTAATTGCATTTATCTCCTTGATGTTTGGTCGAACTACCAAACAAACCTTGGGATTTCGGAAAACTAGGCAAATGTAATTAATCCCAAATTTTGTTATCCTCAGAGTTAAAAAGAGGCTGTTGGTCAAGGGGCTTATTTTGTAATTTTACAGAACCTATGATCATTTAGGAACCAAACCAAACCATGGGAAGGCAGATGAAATTAACACTTAACATGTTACAACTATGGCTGAATGCCCCCCCACCCCATCCCCCTGTATTTTTTGATATAGGACGTCATGAGAAAAAAGGATCGAGAGATGGTCAAGGAATGCAGCGAACCCTATTTCAACATTCCATCTGCAAACCTTGTGTTCTGTTGCATAAGGATCGAGTTTCCAAAAACAAGACTGTAATGGAGAATGGGAAAGTAGTTGTAAGAAGTTCGTATTTTTTGCCTAGGAAGATTGGGAAGGAAAATATTCAGGAAAATGGAACCGAATTGGGCGAGTCTGCCACTGAAAAATCCAATACCATTTCCTCTGCTGAAGAATGCCCTTCAGCTTCAGAGGTAATTGAAGAGGAAATGAACACAGTTTGTCCGAAAACCACACTGAGTTTCAAGTTACAGCATAGTTCTGCTGATGAAAATGGTCAGTGCCATATATAGTGATTAGCTTTAGTTATTATTATGTTACAACTACAGGAATATAATTTTCCAATCTTTTTGCAGATGAAAGTGAAACGAAACCAGAAAGCAAGAGAGGCATTATCAGAAGCGCATATTTTCAGCATCAGAGCTCATTAAACAGAAATAGTCCAATCGAAGAACATGGAGACCCTTTACCAGAAGAAGATGCCATTTCTTCCGAGATTGATGAAAGAAAGATGCCTGAGAACCCCTTTCACTATTATAAACCAAAACTGGGGAAACGAAAGGTTACGTTCAGCAATACCATTGAAAACGTAAGTACCCTTTGAAAAAAAAGTTGCGATGTGCATCATTAAAATGTTTCTTACTGTTTTTTTTACTGCAGGACACTGTAAAAGCTAGTCGTCGTATCTTTACTGATTCTTCTCCAAATGGTCAAAGTAAGAGTAATCCTCAAGATGAGGACAATGTTTCTGCCAATGAAGTGAATGTTGAGGATGAAAAGTTTGGTTCTAACCTATCTCATTTGGGAAATTACTGTCAAATATCCAAAAAATCAATGGAGAGATTTGTTTCCGTGATATCTTCTTTTGCATTCACCTCAAATGGTTCTCGTGCCAGCGGTCTTCGTGCCCCATTGAAAGATATCAAGAATGCAAGCAGAAACGGGTAAATTTATTTTCGCGGGGTTTTCTTTTTCTTTGCTTTCTTACTCTCTTTTTTCTGAGGGCCTTTCAGAAACAACTTGGTCACCTTTATAGGTAGGTGTAGGGTCTACGTACCCACCGTTCATAGACCCCTCTCATGGGACCTTAATGGGTTGTTATTTGGAGATGCATTCTCTCTCTCTCTCTCTCTCTCTCTCACTCTTTATACAATGGAGTATCATCTAACTTCACCTTAATTTTAAAGGGCACCAAGGGAAATGGATCTCGACAGATTTGTGTATCTGCCAAGTCCTAATCGGGGGCGACATTCAGCACGCCGTAGAATCTAAAACTGATGCCAATGTGTGTGTTTGTATTACTATGGATTCAATCCTGCAGCTATCAAATGTTGTCTGTATTTTGTACGGCAGTGCAATAGTATTATCATTTTTGTTGTGCAAAGGATTGATTGTATGATAAAAAAATCCATTTTCTTCATCTGGCTTTGTTTCTATCTTTATTCCCATGCTTCACTTTCTGCCATGAAATCGTGGCATGATCAACCCCCCTTGTTGTTGTGCCAGTGGTTCAGCCTCAACAAGTGTATCATATTCTTTTACAATTGTAATACTCGGTATTTGATTGTATTTTTACGATTTTTTTTATTAGAGTCAGAGAAATTAGAGTTACCGTTTTGAAAACATTATGGTAACTTTACTCTTTTCAAAGTTAATCTACATTTTTTAAAATTTTATCTAAAATCTTAAAAAATGTTGTTTTCAAACAAGGTCTATGTGTAGAGTATTTTAGGCAATTTATTTTAATGTATTTACAAAACATAGAAAGTAAGCAGTTTATTCTAAACAAATTAAACTAAGAAAGTAGATAACTAAATTTGGATGGAACATATATTGTTATATATGGAGTAAAGAATAAATCATTTAAATTTGCGTAAAAATACACTTTTTGTTTGGGTATAGACATTTAGCTTAATTTTTTGAACTATATTAGCAAAATTAGACTAATGGGCTGTTTGTTTCAGCCTCTTAGTGGTTCAGATGTCTGAATGGTTCAGCACTTAATGGTTCAGACTGTTTGTTTCGTCATCACAATTCCAGATTCCCAAAAAGAATATGATTGGAAGAGATCCACACCATAAATATATAAATATGTAAAAAAACAACAAGGAGTGTTATATGTGTAATATTATGAGGTTGTTCGGCAATGTGCTGCTTTTAATCATTTAGCTTCTGCTTTGAGTAGAAGTGATTTTATTCTGTTTGACATGTCAGCTTCTACTTTTCACCACCACTATTTGTACATAGAACATCGTTCCGGAGAAGTAGGTAGAAATTGCTTCTGCTTTCAGCTTTTGTGGAAACTACTTTATCCATAAGTTAATCACTCCCAAACACCATCTTTGTATATTAGAGGGTGTTTGGGAGTGTGGTAAGTTATGTAAAAGTAGAAGCCATAATTTAGAAGCAGAAATCATGTATTTTTAGCTTGCTAGAAAGCATTTCGAAACCTTAATTTAACTTCTAAAAACATAAATTTATAAGCTAAAGCAGATTAGCAAATATTTAAAATTGTGTTTTTATAAAGTAGAAGCTATAAGTTATTTTCAAATGCAATTCCAAACAACCTCTTAGAGTCCTACATAGGTGATTCCGACGTTAATAGTTCTCAATGGTACACACGTACAGTGGAGTACAAATTATTAGCTCGACTATGAAAAAAAATAAGGTTCCACCGAGATTTGAACTCGGGTTACTGGATTCAGAGTCCAATGTCCTAACCGCTAGACCATGGAACCTTGTTATACCCACTCTTCTGTTTAAGATAATTGGATTGAAAGTGCTAACAATGTTGCTGCTATTCTATCCGTACCTAAATAAAGGTTACACTTTCCCATTTGTCTTTTAAAAAATTAACGTGTGACTTATAATTTCTTGTCACCAAACACCTTTAATTGTTCAACATTTTTCTTAAATTATGTAAAGTCAGAGACTAAACTTAATTTTGAGAGAAATAGAGTAATGAATAAAAACTATGGTCCCGTTTGGCATCAGCGTCAGAAATTAGCGTTAGCATTTTGAAAAAGCTATCCGACGGTAGCCTTTAGCGTTAGCGTTTTCAGAATTAATCTGCACCGTTAAAATTTTATCCAAAACGCTAGTCAAAAACGCTATTACCAAACAAAGCCTATGTTACCAGATACTACTTTTTTTTCTCATGCATATGTTATATTTCATGAAAACAATAATCCACCACTGAAGGGCACCGTCTTCCTTGCGTCTGGAGTACACTGCCAACTCGCTGTCCCGAGCACGGTGAAATAAGGCAAGCAACGCCATCAGTCTGACATGTAATGCCAACTCGCTGTGAGTACGAGGTGCACTGCTGACTCGCTGTCCGGAGCGGCAAAGTGGAAAAGTTTGCACCAATTTGTTCATTGTTTTGAAATGATCTGCTCTCGTACAAAGTACATCGTCGGTTCGCTGTTCATCGCACAATGATCACAATAAGAGTGGGTGATGGAGTCGTCATCTGCAGTCCGTTTGTCGTCTTCCAAAAATCCTCCCACAATCAAAGTATTGTAGTCACATAAGACCGGTTATTGTTTTTGACTTGGAAGTTAAACCAAGCATGTTCAAGAAAAGGCAAGTCTGACCATGCAACTTCAAGTAAGGACCAAACAAGGAAAACAACCATGCAAGAAATATTGAGCAAGCGAGAAAAAGGAATCAAACCATGCAAACTGAAAGAAGAAACAAGCAGGTAAATTGAAAACCATGCCAAACAAAAGATAATATTACACAAGTCAGAAGTAGGCCGGACATCCCCTAGGCCTTGGGAAAATTCAAAGTTTTTTTCAAATCAAACCCTAACCTACTCTAGAGGAAAGGGGGGAGCTGGCTCTTCCTTATACAAGGCCGGGAGCTTCATTTTGGCCGGGTCAAAGGAGGGGTCCCTCTTTTGGAGTCTGGAATATAGAAGAGACCTCTCTTCCTTTTGACCACACTGGAACCCATAAGACCCGACGTCTGTTATCATTCTCTTTCCTTCCGGTTCCTTATACATGACTTTGAAAAAATCCATGGTGTCCTCCGGATTGGTGAGAATGGACCGGGCGACTTCAGTGTGATGGCAGGCGGCCCAAATCGCAGCATCATCAGGAAAGGCCTCCTCTTTTGACCGGGCAGTCTCTTCAGCTTGGGCCAAAGCATCTTCCAGCTCTGCCACCTTCCTCTCCGCCTCCACCAACTTGGCCCTTTCCTCCTTTAACGTGTCCCTTTCAGCGATCAGCTCTTCTTCCAGCTTCTTCTCCCTCTCAACCCGGTCATTGATCTCTGACTTAGCGGAGTCAAGGAGGAGGGTGAGCTCGGAAACCTGGTCCTTTGGTTCAACGATTGACCGGCCAACTTCTTCAGATATAACTCTTCTTCCAGCTTCTTATTGCTTGTGTTGCTGAAAGGACCTAACATCCTTTAAATAATAGTTGGTTTCTCCCAATCCTAGTTGAACTAAGTTATCTATCCTGTCGGTTCAAAGAAAAGCGACGAGGTAAAGAACCGAAAAGAAACCCTCGAAGGAGCTTATATTTTGCTCACCTAACAAAATCTAAATTACAATAAATTAAAACAGAAAAGAATTAAATATAATCTGCATAACGTTTCGGGGCTTGAACGGACTGCTTCGGGCGAACACGTCGTGGAGCCGAGTGGTCTGTTGGGGTGGTCTGGTCAGAAACAACCCCCGTATCAACCCCCCCGGGGTCGGAAACGGCCTTGTCCTCAAGGCCAAGATCAGGGTAATGGCGGCGGATGTCTACAACTGGTTCCCACGTACTGTCTTCCGGGCCGCCATCCGACCAACGAATCAGCCATTGGTCCTGCGGGAGGCCATCCACCAGAATGGCCCGTGCATCGAGCGCCTTAATGGGAACTGAAATCGGGCGGCCCTTATAAAAATCAGTCGGTAGGGAGACTGGCGGGAGAGTGTCGCCGGTTTGCATAAAGGGCCGCAATAAGGAGACATGGAATACATCATGGATACGACTGCCCAACGGAAGTTGTAAACGGTACGCTACGGGACCAACCCGCTCAAGAATGGGAAAAGGCCCATAAAACCGCCGAGAGAGCTTTGTGGAGAGAGGTCGGGTGATGGAGTGTTGACGGTATGGCCGGAGCTTCAAAAGAACCAAATCGCCGACAGCATAAGTAACCTCCCGGCGATGAGCATTGGCCTGCTGGGTCATTCGCTGCCGCATGGTGGCCAAGTGATTCTTCAAATCAGTGAGCAATTCGGCGCGGTCACGTAAGAGCTCCTCCACCGAAGCCACACGCGAGCGAGTTGAGATCATCGGAAAGAGGGAAGGCGGTAGGCGGCCATACAATGCTTGATAAGGAGACATCCCAATACTCTCATTTGTTCTACAATTCAACGCGAGCTCAGCCCATGGTAAGAAGGTGGACCACTTTGTAGGGCGGTCATGGACAAATGCACGTAGATATTGTTCCAAGCTTCGATTGAGGACTTCCGTCTGGCCATCTGTCTGCGGGTGATATGCTGTACTAAATTTTAATGTGGTGCCACTGAGACGCATCAACTCCTTCCAAAAGAGGCTCATAAAGATTGAGTCGCGATCGGAGAATATATCGGCGGGGAACCCATGGTGTTTGACAACAATATCAAGAAAGAGCTGAGCCACCCGAGGTGCATCAAAGTCGGCAGGCAAGGCACCAAAATGGGAATACTTGGTGAGACGATCAACGACGACGAGAATGGCTGAAACCCCTCTGGACGGTGGAAGGCCGGTGATAAAATCCATAGATGCGGACTCCCAGACTTGGTCCGGTATGGGCAGCGGCTGAAGAAGGCCTGCGGGCTTACGGGTGGAATATTTGGTAGTCTGACACGCCAAACAGGCTGCCACAAAACGGCGTACGTCCGCACGCATGGCAGGCCAATAGAAGGTGGTGACGAGGCGGCGGAATGTGCGTTCTACACCCTGGTGCCCAGCCATCGGGGAGCTGTGGTACTCGGTGAGCAGCTGGTGACGAAAGAAAGAGGTTGACGCCAGGACCAGTCGGTGTTGATAATAAAGGATGCCGGAACGGACTGTAAACCCGGGGTGTGCTGTTCCAGCAGCCACGGCTTCATGAAGCCGGAGGAGTTCCTGTTCGGTTGTGTTCTCTGCAGCAATGGCTTCCAAGAGTTTGGGCAGTGGCCGTGCATAGGTCGTGAATAGGGCTGCAACCTCGGCGTCATCTCCACGTCGTGATAAAGCATCCGCGGCCCGGTTAGAGGCCCCTGTCTTGTATTCGATCGGAAACTTATACCCCATGAGTTTGCGGATATAGAATTGTTGATCCGGAGTTTGGACGACCTGAGAAAGAAGTTCCTTGAGGCTGCGCTGGTCACTTCGAATAACAAACTCTCGACCTAGCAAATATTGACGCCATTTTTGTACTGCCTCAACAATTGCATATAATTCCTTGTGGTACGTGGAGGCCATACGTCGTCGGGGCCCCAATTTTTTGCTAAAAAAGGCTAATGGGTGTCCTTGCTGTAACAACACTGCGCCCACCCCAAAATCCGAGGCATCGGTCTCCAAATAGAAAACCTGGGAGAAATCAGGGAGGCGTAAAACAGGGGCCGTGGTCATCGCCTGTTTTAAAGCCTCAAAACTGCTGTCGGCGCGGGTATCCCACTGGAAGCTATCCTTTTTAAGAAGATCGGTCAGCGGGGCGGCAAGGACGGCATATCCGGCGACGAACCGGCGGTAATATCCAGTCAAGCCAAGAAAAGCCTGAAGTTGGGTGATGGTTGTGGGCTTCGACCAGGCCACCATGGCCGCAATTTTGTCCGGGTCGGGCTTTAGTTCTCCTCCCTAAATTAAATGGCCCAAGTACCCAATTTGGGTTTGGCAAAAAGAGCACTTCTGCAGCTTGATGAAAAAGGAATGTAGCTGGAGTGTCTCCAATACCGTGGCTAAATGTTGGACGTGCGCTTCTGTCGTGGGACTATAGACAAGGATGTCGTCGAAAAACACAATCACGAATTGCCGTAGGTGTTCCTGAAATAAGCTGTTCATAGAGGCTTGAAATGTGGAGGGTGCATTGGTAAGGCCGAAGGGCATAACCAGAAATTCGTAGTGCCCGTCATGTGTTCGGAATGTGGTTTTGAAAATATCGTCCGCATGCATGCGAATTTGGTGATAGCCTGACCTCAAATCAAGCTTGGTAAACACCCGAGCCGACCCTAGTTCATCAAGTAATTCATCCGAGGTCGGTATGGGAAAATGATCTGGAACCGTAGCTGTATTAAGGGCGCGGTAGTCGACGCAAAACCGGAAAGTACCGTCCTTTTTGCGGACGAGTAGCACTGGAGAAGAGAATGGGCTTTGACTTGGTCGAATAATGCCCTGTTGGAGCATGTCCCTCACTTGCCGTTCAATTTCGGCTTTTTGGAAGTACGGGTAACGATAAGGCCGGACATTGACCGGGCGGGTGCCAGGAGGGAGGTGAATACGATGGTCCTAGAAGCGTGCGGGTGGCAGTCTCGTGGGCGTCCCGAATACAGGCGCATGATGGGTGAGCAAGGACCGGATGGGATCCGGCAGGTCGGCGGGGAATTGAGGATCTGCGGCCGTGACCTGCGGCTGTTCCATAGGTGTACCCACCACTTCGTAAAGGTCCACTGGCTCGGGGGTAGCAAGGAGGGCGCTTAACTGATTGTACGACACAGGGCGTGGTCCAGGAGAGTCGCCGCGTAACGTGATGGTGTCGCCATTCCAACTGAATTCCATGGTTAATTTAGCATAATTGTGTGCCACTTTGCCTAGAGTTTGCAACCATTGAATGCCGAGGACAATATCGGGACCATGAACCTCGAGCATAAACAAGTCAATTTCAAAGAGGTGGCCCTGTAGAGATACCGGCGTACGGGGGCAAGTGTAAGAGCAGCGAAGGGAGTCACCATTACCCACATACACACGGAAGGGCGTCACGGGATGAAGGACCAGGGCGAGGCGTTCGGCCACACCGGGGTGGATGAAGTTGTGGGTGCTCCCACTGTCCAAGAGAACCTGAACGGCTGCCCCATTGACGGATCCGGCCAATTTGAGGGAACAGGGACTCAGGCTCCCGGACATAGAGTGAATACTGGACACGTCACCGGAGATGACGGGAGTAAAGTCGTCCTGGTCCGCGGGGCTGTCGCCTGTAAGGGGCGGATCTTCGGAGTCGGGACCCATAAGCACCAAGAATCGTCGTCGACAATTATGAAATCGATCCCACTTTTCATCACAATACCAGCAAAGGCCTTTTTTGCTACGTTCTGCTTTCTCGGCGGTGGAGACGACCACCACGGGTAATGAAGAGGGTGAGGGACGGTCTGCCTGACGGTTCTCTGTGGGGTTCGGTCGTGCATGCGTTGAAGGAGGCGGAAGGATACCAGCAGCGGCCGAGGGTGGCGACCGATTGGACCAGGGCCTTCGTGACGGAGGAGCAAACGCCGTGGCTGCCTCTTGATGGCAGGCGGCCAGTTCACGAGCCAAGGCGAAAGCCGATTGCAA